ACACACACACACACACACACACACACACACACACACACACACACACAAGTGCAAGAGGACAGCAGCTACAAGGAGAAGCTGTGTGCTGTCAGGGCAGAAGTGGGGTCAGATTGTGCGTGGTTTGCTCTTCCTTGTCCCTACGGTTAGTGCCTACCGAGCACTGAGTATGGGAGAAGTGGTTATTGACTGCGGAGACTGCTGGGCTTCATCCTTGCCGACACCCAGCGGTAGATGTCCCTGTCCCTGTGTTGCCGGTTAGTGACGTGCTGGCGGCTGTGAGCCCTGCCCTGGGGAGCAGGTGCAACGAAGGGGGTGACCCCACAGCCTGCTTCCTCTGGTCAGAAGGCTAGCCGTAGAAAGGCCCAGCACAGGGACACGACAAGAGACGCCATCAGGGACCGAGGAGGGACCAGCCATGGGGAGACGAAGGAGTGCACACACTGTCACTGGGAGCACCTGTGCACGGCAGCTGCTCCGTCCACGCCGCCACGCCCTCTCCCAGGGGCCGGGCTCCACAAGAGCAACAGTGTGAATTCAGCCCAACTCTGCGCTGCAGTAGTCAGAGGCAGTTTCCAGGGCACCATAATTCTTACATCCTTTGGACAAGGAGGCCGTGGCAGGAACTGTGTTCCTTCCCTGTTGCTAGACAGGCCAGGGGGTGTGGTGGGTTTCTTCAAGGGGCCACTGGTCGCAGCAGAGTGTGGTTGCATGACTAGTCACAGTTGCATTCGAAGCCCTGCATGTGTGTCTGTGAGCAACGAAGCACCCTTAATGGGAAATTTACTATCGTTTTACACTGTAACCTCTAAGTATATAGTATTATACTTGTGGAAAAAATAATATTTGTGCCTTCTGTGTTACAAAGTCTACGAAACAAAATTTGTTCAGATAGATACAGTGTCCCGTTGGCCCTGTGGCCTGACTTACCAATTCCTCTGGTTTTCAAGTCCAGGGTACCCTGGAGGATTAGGAGAGTGCTGGGATCTCCCACCGTCTCGTCATTGTGCTTTACCGGCTCTTTATCGTGTAACAGCCTCAGGTCTCTTACAGCCCTGGACACGCTCCCTAGAATAAGCTAAGAGCGCGGTCGACCGAGGAGATGGCTTTCCAGAGCACTTCAGGCTGGCAAGCTCCAGGCTCATGGGAGTGATTTTTCAGCCAGGTTGTGTTTCGTGAGATATGTAATGTGTTTGCTGTCGTTCTCAGGTCCAGCCTGATGAGCGAAGAAGCGAAGCGAGGAGCGCCCAACCCTTGGCTCTGTGAGGAGCCAGAGGAGACCAGAGGTTTGGGTTTTGATGAGATCCGGCAACAGCAGCAGAAAATTATTCAAGGTACCAATTACCTAGGACTGTGGGTCACAAACCGGGCTGCTCTGACACTAATCTTGACTATTCTCCTTCTCTCTCCTTCTCTCCACTGAAAATTAGAGTCCAGATGGTTGTTGCTGTAAAGCTCATGACTTTTTTTTTTTTTTTTTTGCCTCAGGATGCTTGAGGGAAATATTTCATTGCTGCTGTTGACTCAGGTGTCAGTCATCAGTTTATCCTTTCACCCTCAAGTTTGTCTGCACCCTCAGACTTTCCCTGGACCTCACTGTAGACCAGGCTGGCCTCAAACTCACGGATCCTTCTGCCTTCACTGCCTGAGTGCTGGGATTAAAAGTGTGCACCATTACACCTGGAAAAACATGTTTTATTTTGTTTGTTTTGTTTTTTAAGTTTCTCGTTTTTAAAATTCTCTGTTGCTAAGGGTTCAAGCAAGATGGAAAGTGCTCTGTGTTGCTTCTGTAGTCTCAGAATCCTAAGAGGATTAGTATGTGTGACCTCAGTCTTGTTTGCATATGCAGATATGCATATATTTAGTATAAGTACATGGATTTTAGGAAAATAGGACCATGAGGTACATATATAGGATGAAACCATCACTGTAGTCAAGTTCTCAGAAGGTCCTTCATGTCTCTCTGAGCATCTTCCTGTTGTCTCTCCCCATTCCTAACGACAGCTGGGCTGTTTTCTATCACTATTAATTGGCTTCTCTTCTCCACAGGTTCATGTGAGTAGACTTGCACACATACAGTTTTCCTCTCTGGGGAGGGTCTGGCTTCTCTCTCTGAAGATGATTTTTAAATGCATCTGGATTGTCACATGACTCTTTACACGTGTCGATTTCTTTTTTCCTAAAATGTCTTCAGAACTAGTTAACTCTTTTATTAACTTGTAAGGTATTTTCATATGCTCGCTCACAGTTCTTTTGTCAGACATCTTCGGGGTTTGCTTTTAAAAGTAAAACAAGTTTACTTAGGATCCTGCAAGGGTGGAAGGCTGGGCGGTGACAAGTGTAGGACCCAGAGCCACACCCACATTTTACAGATCTTTCATTCCATCTGTGTGTTTCCTTTTCACTCTCTTGGTGATAGTTTTCAAAGTGCAGATGTTCTTAAGTCCAGCTGATCAGTTCTTTCTTGTGTGATTTATGTTTTGATTATATCTAAGAGAACATTCAGTAGGCCAAAGGCACAGATTTTTTTTATTGACTAAAAAGGCACTGCCTTTTTATTTCTGGTAACTTTATAATGTTAGCTTTTTACATTAGGTGTGTGGACTATTTTGAATTGTTAAGTAGGCACGGGTGCCTAAGTATCTATTTGACTTAGAGGCATCAAAAGATAAAAAGGCTACTTTGACTACTGAGTCTCTACTTTTGTCAGATCTAATCACGTGGCCATAGCTTTGGCCACTGTGCTCTGTCCTTACCCATTGGTCTGCTTGTTTCTAGGGGTCTTGAATGTTGTGTCTTTCTGACGGACTCCAAACCAAGCAACACGAGTCCTTGGACTTCGATCTTTTCCTGGTAGTTTCGGCTATTCCAAGGTCTTTCATACTTCTATCTGAACTTCAAAATCAGCTTTGAATTTTTGAAATAAATGGCATCGTGGCATCTGTAATTGTGATTGTGGTAACACTTTTAGTTTATTAGGAAGGTTCTGGTGTCACATCAAGGAGAAAGTCCAGGCCCATAACACGGATGAGTCCCTGGTGGCAGCTCTACTCACTCTCTAAGTTTTCTTAGCATTGCTTTCCAGTTTTCACCTCGCACACCTCATATGTCTTCGGTCACACTTATTCCTAAGTTTTTTACACTTTCATCGTGAATAGCATTTTTAAGTGTTCAGTGTCCGATTACTACTCATATATAAAGCTGCCGCTTGTATTTATATTGTTTTTGGATCAGACAACTTTGCTTTCCTCTCACTGTGCTCTAGCAGCTTCTTTGTTGAATCTAGTTAATATACTGAGTAAGACAACTGTACTTGAAATTTCAGCATAATACCGTTAATTCACCCTTCTTGCCGTATTGTACCTGCTACAACCTAGTGCAGTGTTGAAAGCAGACAGTCTTGCCTTGTTTCTCCTCTTCTTAGTAGCAACTGCTTATTCGCATCCAAGTTTTGTTCTTTTTCGTTTTCAGTACTGGATGGTTCTGAATTTTCTAGAAATATTTTCATGAGTTGTTGTGGGGTACAGTTGTATTAATCGGGCTGTGCTCTTATTTTTATATATTTAAAATGTTTTATGTTATTCTGTGTGTAATTATAATGTATGTATAACGTGTAGGGATACACATATCATGGTGTACATTTGAGGTCAGAGGGCAACTTTGTGGAGTCCATTCTTTCCCTCCAGCCTTGCATGTGATCTGGAATCAAACTCGGATCATCAGGCCCATGAGGCAAGTGCTTTTCGTAGCTGACCCATCTCACTGGCCCTGGGTCTTGCTTTTAAAGACAGATGAAAGAAGTGTTTAAAATATTTTAGGGCATGGATCAGCAAACCCTGGCCTATGAGCCAAATCTTATTTTTGAATGGTGTGCAAGTTAAAAAACAGCTTTAAAATTTTTAAATGGTAAAAAAATAATCAAAAGAATATTTTGTGACTTGTAAAAATTATATGAGATTAAAAGTTCAGGGCTCATAAATTCAGTTTTATGGGAACACAGCCATGCTCACTCACTCACACGGCATTCGTGGATGCTTTCCCACTTGCAGTAGTAGAGCTGAATAACTCCTCCGGGGACCTTATGAACCACAAAGCCTCAAATGCTTCCTATGTGGCCCCCTTCAGAACATGTCTGCCTCCGGTCTCGAGGCGATTTCCTCCACTCCTGAGCCCAAAGCACTCTGGGTATTCTGCTTGGTGCCCTAGGAGTCCTGAGGTGACCTGCTTGGTGGAGTGGGAACAGTGTCTTGCCCTGGTTGACTTCAGAGCGTGGTTCCTTCCACCCTTTGAAGTGACTCAGCCCTGGGTCTCTTTCTCACTGTGTAAGAGCCCTGACTAACACTCCGGGAGGACCTGGAGCAGATGCCTTACACGACTACAGGGCTGTCTCCGTGCGACCCTCGTCTTCCTAGCACCCTATGTATTGACCCCTTTGGACTCAATTCAGCATGCCCACTGGGTTCCACACGGGCTCTCCAGCCCGCACCACAGTGGGAACATGCACAAGGCAGCAATCTGGGCGAACTTAGAGGGCATCACATTTGTTTCCCTCACCCAGAGCTCTTGCCGTGTCAGCTGATATATGTTTCTTGAAATCGTGGCTTTGGATAGCTTACATGTTTTCCCTGCTCCTTGCCCATCCAGTCCATCTGGACCAGAAACAGGAGTCTAATTCTGTTTTGAGCTCTCTTCACAATGAAATTACCTGGTAAACAAAACACTGGCGCTCCCTGTCTTTGATTTTGCATACTTCACCCCATTACTGTGTTTGACAGGAAGTGAACAGATGAAAAGCAACCCAGCTTAACACAGAGCCCAGCAACTCACACGCAGCCCGTTACTCTGCAGCAGCCATGGTTTCTGGGAGGACTGCCTAGCGCCAGTACACGTGGATTTCCCTGCCGTTGCTGTTTGCCAAGGGAAGCTGTTTTCAGTCAGGAGAAGTATTTCTGGCCCTGAGAATGTGCTGCACCCGGGGTTGCCCAGGCTTTGTGTGAGCGCACTCCCTGAATGCTGCTCAGCAGCGTCTCCAGACTGTGGCTTCTCCCACCGAGATGCCCACCCTTGCAAGCCTGCTGGCCTCTGGGTGTTGGGACAGGGAGTGGAGGAGCCTGCATTTTGGGTCACTTTCTTTTCCTATTCTTTCTTCCTGTTGTGCTTTGAAATGCTTCCATGATGCTTTGCTAGTGGAGCAAGGTATTTTTCAAGGTCAACACGAACGTGAAAGTAGTCTTTACCCTAAATACTTAGTAGCCTTTCCTGTGCTCCAGGAACCTAGGGGTGTGCTGTGACTCTTTATCGCTGGGTCCTGTCCTGGATAAAGAGGAGTCAGAAAAGGCTTTTTCAGATTGCCTGTTGGCCCATGGAAGCCTTTTTGTACTTTAGGGTGGAGACAGCAATACTCTAGAAACCACCTTCAAATTATTGATACATCACAGAGTTGAGGGCCGTGAATACCTTTCTTGCTCAGCAGAGAAGCTAGGTCTCCTGACAGCCAGCTACCTGAGGCTAGCCCGATACTTCAGCAGTAGCTTGGGATGTACCTAGGCCCTAGTAGAGGTGACCGTGGTGGGGACAGTAACTTGGTCTGTTCAGGATCAGGGTAGAGCGGAGGAAGGAGACCGTGCTCAGTGCGGGCTCCTGTACCCGAGTCAGACCACAGGGCGTGAAGCGTGGGTCCCCACTCTGCTTAGGGTTCTGCTGCTGAGGTTCCGAAGTTAGCACAGTCTGGCCTCTGCTATTCCCAAGCTGTTCTTTCTGGATTTGAGCGTTGGCTGCAGACTTCTTGGTCTCAGAGAGTTGCTTTTGTAACTGCTGGGACACAGTGCCTGCCAGAGGAGCCTGAGGAAAGAGTGGTTTATTCTGGCTCACGGTCTGATGGAGTCTGTCACAGGGAAGTCACCACAGCAGGAGTTGAAGGCCACATTGCATCTGCCGGAAGGAAGCAGGGAAGCAAAACGCTGCCCCCGGCCCTCTTCCTCCCTGGTATTCAGTCTAGGCCACAGCCCATGAAATGGCACTGCCCACATTTGCGGTGGGTCCTCCTGCCTCAGCTCACCCAATCTAGAAAATTCCTCACAGGTATGCACACAGTTTTGTTGCCATGGTGATTCTAAATCCCCTTAGATTGGGAATCAAGTCAGGAGCAACTACCATAGTCTCTTAGATATTTTCCTGTGAAATGGGGACAGAGACGGATGACTAGCCAGAGTCTATTTTACAGTGATAATCTTGGTAGGTAATCTTGGAATAGTTCTAATTATAGACCGCTTTCTTGAGGATACTCTTCCCTGTAGCTACCACTTATACTAGGAGATTTCCTTTCCTAAAACCT